CCTTAAGAAACAATCTGAAGAGTCCATCAACTTCTAACTATGCATATTATTACTATTCTTACGGGATGTGCTTCATCATTTCTTACTATATTTATCTGGTTCTCTGGTTAGGGGCCTTTTCTCTGCCAATATCATGTTCTTGTTTGTTTTCTATATGTAGTATGTCTTTAAGTATCTTCTATAATGCTGGTTTGGTGGGGATAAATTATTTCAATTTTTCCTTGTTGTGGAAGGTTTTTATTTGTTCCTCAGTTAAAAAGGTCCCTCAGTTATAAAGAAGAGCTTTGTGTATACTATTTTTGGCTGGTAGTTGTTTGCCTTTAAGGTGTGGCATACTCCATTACAGGCTCTCCTTGCTTTTATAGTCTCTACTGAGAAATCTGCAGTTATTCTGATTGGTTTTCTTTTATAGTTAATTGTTCTTTTCTCCCTGACAGATTTAAGGATCCTTTCCTTGGTCTTTATTGATCCTGTGTGGATTAAAGTGTGGCAATGGGATGTTCTGTTCTGGTCTGATCTGTTTGGGTTTTGAAAGGCTTCTTGTATCTGAATGGGCCTATCATTCTGGATGCTCAGGAAGTTCTCTGCTAACATCCTCTGATTGAGTCCGGAAGCTCCTGTAAGGACAACCATGTTCATTGCAGCATTGTTACCATGGCCACAATAAGAAATCAACCCAGATGTCCTTCAGTGGATAAATGGATCAAGAAAATGTGGTATATATACATAATGTAGTTATATGTTTCAACCAGAAAGAATGGCATTGCCCCACTTATAACGAAATGGAAAGATTTGGAAAAACTTATACTAAGTGAAGTAAGCCAGACCCAAAGAAACATAGGCTGCATGGTTTCCCTCATTTGTAGCAATTAGAATGAACCTATAAACCTACAAGTAAAAAGAAAAGTAATTACACCTGGACAAGATCGATTTAAATAGCAGTCTAATCATTCACAAAGTGAGAACAGATATTCTAGGAGAGCAACTCAAGAGCTCAAAAGTTACGTGCAAATGATCATATAAAATGATCCTTGCTGAAATGAACTCCAAGAAATGGAAACAAGAGGTTTTTTTTGTACTATTTGTGTTTTCTTTTCTTTTCCTCTTTCCTTTTCTCTTTGGTTTATTCCCTTCTGTCACTATTTTGATTTCTGTACCCTTTGTCTTGTACATAATTTTATCTGATTTAGGGAGGGAAAAAGGAAGCGCAGAAATGTTGGGACAAAGAGTGAACCAATTCAATAGTCAAACCCACCAGACACTATGTGGGAAATGAACTATACAACTTGGAGAGGAGGGAAGTTGGGAGAAGGTTGTGCTGTGATTTCAGGCATGAGCCAACAACATCTGGTTGTACAACTGCTTAAAGATAATAGAAAAATATATAATTTGAAATAGAGAAAAAAAGAAAAAAACTGGGAGAGGATGAGGGAAGGGGGGACACTGTACAAAAGGAAATGTACTCAGTACCATGCTTATGTAACTATAATCCCTTTGTACATCACCTTTACTATAAAATTTTTTTTAATAATCAATAAAAATATTCCATAGGACATACCTTTTACTACTATGTGTTTTAAAGATGTTATCCTTTACTTACTTAAGTCCCTTTCAAATTTAACTTGGCTTTCTATATTTTATGTATCCCTACATATATATTAAAAGGCAAGTAGAAGAAAGAATTTAGGGTATTAAGGCACTTTACCTTTTGTAGTCTCATACTTCAGATTAACATGGGAGAACAAGAATAAAAGCTACAGCCTGAACAGTTTTGCTTTACTCAGAACCCTGAGGTTGGCTAATTATAAGGATTCAATATCCTTCACTAAGTTTTACCACACAAAGCAGAAGAAGGCTAGAAAGAACATTTTGCCAATGTGAAGGAGATTGGAGTGTGAGAAACTCACCGTACACAAGGTACAGAAGGAACAAACTAGAGCAATCACAGTGGGAATGAGAAGAGGGTAGAAGAAACACCACTTGGTTAGGCTTAAAGAATTTATAGTTGAGCCATGCCACAAAATACAAAGAGCATAAAATCTCATAAAATTTTATACTTGATGAAAGGGTGATATTGATCAAAATGCATTGTATTGAATTGTAACCAATTGCTTTGTACAAATACATGTGTGCATGTGCATGAATGTGCATGTGTGTGCATGTGTGTGCGTGTGTGTGTGTGTGTGTGTGTGTGTGTGTGTGTGTGTGTATCCTGGGGCTTGAACTTAGGGCCTGAGCACTGTCCCTGAGCTTATTTGGTCAAGGCTAGAACTCTACCACCTGAGCCATAGCTTCATTTATGCCTTTTTTTTTCAGTAGTTAATTGAAAATAAGAGTCTCTTCTTGCCCAGGCTGGCATTGAATTGTGATCCTCAGATCTCAGTCTCTTGAATAGCAAAGCTTTCAGGCATGATCCAGCAGCACCTGGTTGTACAACTGCTTAAAGAAAATAAAAAATATAACTTGAAAAATAGAAAAGAAAAAATAAAAATGATGCAAATTATATATAAAAACAGATTTATAGGTCAAGAAATTATATATTCATCATGTATAATAGATTTGAATTAATTAATATATCACACCAAGCTGTTGTTACCTAGCAGGTGATCATTCTACTAAATATATACCACCTGAGATTTCATAGATATTTTTAAGCACCTGGCATTTCTACAAACTGTACTCAGAATTTTAAATTATTAGCTAAGAATATACACATAAACTCTGAGAAACAAAAATGTCAAATTTAGAATCTTAATTAAGAGTTTATATTTATGAAATGTGTTTGTCTACAATAGCAATTTCAAACTGTATTTCATTTGAAACATTTGTTTTGTAGTATCTACATTACGGAAAAAGCTCTTCAAAGGTATTCTGTTATTTTCCTTTACTTAAACAAGGGGGGCAGCTATAATACCCTCTTCCTCAGGACTACTACCTTTCTCACTTGACATGCTTCTACTTACTCATTTTATATTATAAAGTCACTTGATTTTTCCTAAATGACCACCTCCTTCATTGTTATATATAGTTTTATATAATTCTAGGTAACCAACCTAGAACCACTAACTGGTCTATTAAGTTCATGTGTACATCATAGCATCTGCAAATGATAGATATTTGCCTGTTTAGTATGGAATAGTAACTGGAAGAGTAATAGAAAGGCATTATAAAGTAGCTCCTGTTTTCTCAATTAGCAAATATTCAAATCCTAAATGTAATGTTACATTTGCATTTTATGGTTAATTTCAATAATCAATGACTGATCCATCTATGGTAGGCAGGTGGTGGGACTAAATTACCCACTATAGGTAAAGAGTAAAATCTAGCTCATTCAGTTGTGCTGTGCTCATCAGAAATCACTTTTAATAAACATTGTATCCTGACACCTATATTATCTGCTTTAGATGTTGACAAGAATGTTTAAACCCATGATAGCTCTTCCATACAATTGAATAATTTTCTAGGCTGACTTATTGCTTCATTAGATTTCCTGATATGTGTTTGAGCAATATAAGGATCATTTGTCATGGCACAAAAATAGTAGAAAAAATATAATGCATTAAAAAAAGAAACCAAGCCGGGCGCTGGTGACTCATGCCTGTAATCCTAGCTACTCAGGAGGCTGAGATCTGAGAATCGCGGTTCAAAGCCAGCCCGGGCAGGAAAGACTGTGAGACTCCGATCTCCAATAAACCACCAGAAAACCGGAAGTGGTGCTGTAGCTCAAGTGGTAGAGCGCTCGCCTTGAGCTGAAGAGCTGAGGGACAGCGCCCAGGCCCAGAGTTCAAGCCCCACGACCAACAAAAAAGAAAAAAAGAAACCATACATTACTAGATTTTTCAAGTTTTTGCTCCCTTCAGTTTATGTGTGTGTGTGTAGCAAATTCCTAAGCTCACCAAATAAGTATGACTTTCTTCAAGCTGAATATTTTCAGCACACCAAGCAAAATGTCAGGCAAGGAGTAGGCATAGTTATGGAAGTTGTTTCCAAATATTATATTAGTGTTCCAAATACACAATTATTGTAGCTTAAGACTCAAGGTATCAAATCTAATTACAATAAATATGATTATATTGGGCCTAGGCATTGTCCCTGAGCTTCTTTTGTTCAAGGCTAGTGCTCTACCACTTGAGCCACAGCACCACTTCTGGCTTTTTTAAGTAGTTTATTAGAGATAAGAGTCTCAAGGACTTTCCTGCCTGGGCTGGCTTCAAACCGCGATCCTCAGATCTCTGCCTCCTGAGTGGGTAGGATTACAAGTGTGAGCCACGGGTGCCCAGCTAAATTACAATTTTTAAAATAAAAAACTTCCTAGCTCAGATGTTTAGACTTCTCTGATTGCACAGAAGACAACCTTGGATTTCACCTTTCATTATATACTTCATATGTCACTGGAAAAAATGTCTGGTTAAAAACATTAAAATGAGGGTCTATTCAGCAGTGCAGTGCACCCCTATAATGCAAGTACTCTGGGGATTTGTCAGGATGATCCCAAGTTAAATCAAGCTTCAGTAAATGAGATTCTATGTCAAATATAACAAAATTTAAATAAGAGAAACATAAATAAAATGAATCAATGCTGTGTGCACATTAAATTGTGGCATAACAATAATAATCATATTCTCATTATAGGCTTATAAATTCTTTTTTTTGGGGGGGTCCAGTCATGGGGCTTGAACTCGGCCTGGGCGCTGTCCCTCAGCTCTTCAGCTCAATGCTAGCACTTTACCACTTGAGCCACAGCACCACTTCTGGCTTTTTTCTTTTTGCTTATGTGGTACTGAGGAATCAAACCCAGGGCCTCATGTATGCAAGGCAAGCACTCTACCACTGAGCCACCTTCCCAGCCCCTATGCTTATAAATTTTATGAAACTATGTTAATTGAAATGCTGGCACCCAACAGTGTCAGGAATAGAGAATGGGTTCAGCTGTTCTTTATGTTGCAACAAACTTCTTATTTCCCTTTGACATACCTTTGGAATGAAAAGCAGTGCCTTACCTTCTAAGTCTTCTTTCTCAAAGTGTGTTTTGAGAATAGAACGAGTTCCACCTCTGTCCACAACCGCTTCTTCATCATTTCTCTGTAGGAGGTGAAGGGGAAAAAAGACTAAATAAAATACATATATTCTCTTCATTTCAAAAAGTGAACCTTAATTTAATCTCTCATTTAATTTAATTCAGTTACTTAAATTTATCAGCACTTAGTAGTTTTGGTTTTAATGTTTTGGTTTAGAAAGCTAAAATAAATTGGTACACAGGGGCTATGTTATTTGACTTTTCTGACATTGACAGCATCCAAAATTTCTCCTGACATCATTTGTTAGTGAAAATTTTAAAATCTTAAAAAGCAGAAAACAAATGGCTATCCTATTTAATTTAGTAACAGGTGTCTTTATCTCTCATAAAGAATTTTTGTTAATAAGATCACATTTTGACTCATACAAAGAAAATGCTATGTCATGGTGAAATAATTCAACTAACATTAAAAATTGATCTAAACCCTTGAAAGAAATTAGTACACAATTATTAGGTAAATGGCAATACTAATTACTTTGCTTCAGTACAGTGCACATTATTCAAACTATATTGTTAAATATGATCATGTGCATTAAACTATCACTTAATTTCTATATAGTTTTACCATTTTAGAATGGTTGGGAAGATACTATGTCTTCTGAACATTGTACATATGTTCAAAAGAATATAGTTTTTAATTTTGTGCTCATAAAATATAATGGAGAAAGTCTTCAGTATACTCGATTTGACCATGCAAGATAGACAAAATGCAAACAGTGGATGATGTGAAATATAAGCTATTTCCAACTTTATCTAGTTTAAGAGTAAACACTGAGGACTGGGAAGGTGGCTTAGAGGTAGAGTGCTTGCCTTGCATGAAGCCCTGGGTTAGATTTCTCAGTACCATATACACAGAAAAAGCCAGAAGTGGTGCTATGGCTCAAGTGGTAGAAAGCTAGCCTTGAGCACAAAGAGGCTCAGAGACAGTTCCCAGGCCCTGAGTTCAAGCCCCAGGACTGGCAAAAAAAAAAAAAAGTAAGCACTGTGCATAACAGGAAAAATTTAAAAATACACTGAAGATGGTGAAGCTTCTGCAATCTATTTCTAAATCTATTCTAGTATACAACTATTAAGAAAGAAGGAAAAAGCTTGGAGCTGGTGACTCATGCCTATAATACTAGCTACTTAGGAAACTGAGATATGAGGATTGCAGTTCAAAGCCAGACCAGAGTCTTATCTCCAATTAACCTCTCAAAAACCAGAAGTGGAAGAGTGGCTCAAGTGGTAGAGCACTAGCCTTGAGCAAAAGAAAGAAAGGAAAAGGAAGGAAGGAAGGAAAGAAAGAAAAAAAGAAAAACATCCACCACTGAAAAGCCAAAAAAAAAGTGCTGAAAATCTTCTATTGCCCAACTATTCTGACATACCCAATATTGGGGACATGAGTTTGTTGTGTCATAATATGTAGTGCTAAAAGTTAGACTGAAAGACACTCAGTGAAGAAAGAAATCATTGTGCATTTAAAACCATGGTCAGAACAGACAGAAAGGAATAAATACGCTAATTTCCCCTTGAGAATTATTGCCAATAAGATACCTAAAAATTGGAATAAAAATTGAAGAAAAAAGTAGAAAAATCAATACTGTCTAGCTATACATATATATGTTTATTTATATATAGTTTTTATTGTAAAAATACCGCACAGAGGGGTACAATTACATGGGCAAGGTAATGAGTACATTTCTTTTATTAATTTTTTTTATTTTTTTCAAATTTTTACTGTGATTAAGTGGTTACATAATTTCCCAAATTTCACATTATTGTGGGATATTGATGCTCAGTTAAAGTCACAAACGCATTCTAACTTTCCTGGAGCAAATTGTCTACCACGATCTATAACACTTATGAGTTCGATGAGCTTTGCGATACAGTTATTTCTTCAACATTGGGTGATATGTACATTTCTTTTGTTTTGCATAGTATCAGCTGTTCCCTCTTTCCCACTTGTTCTCACTTGAGTACATTTCTTATCAAGCATTGTTGCCTCCTCCTTTGTTTCCCCTACCCATCCCTTCCCATCTCCCACAGCTCCCCTCCCCTCACTGTCCTCCAACCCTTCTGGCCAAAGTTGAAAAGTTCATTTTTCGATATAACGACTTGTACATCTCATTGTTGCCCTGGGTCCACCTGTATCCCTATTTAAACGATGTTTTTCCCTTCCAATTTATACCAACATCAAATACAATGAAAGCAGGGGTTATACCGTGGGAGAGGGACATACAAGCAACAAAGAAATCATCTTATAAATATGTTAGAAACAATCGCAAGAAAGAAAAAACATTTGAATACTTATCTTAGTTCATCTCACCTAACATCAACTTATCTGACCTTTTTTGCTTGTCTCAGACATATACTAGTTATTGCAAATAAGGGAATCCATGGGATCTATGTTTCTTTGGGCCTGCTTACTTCACTTAATATAATTTTTTCTGAGTCTTTCCATGTCCTAACAAATGGGGCAATGTCATTCTTTCTGTTGGAGGCATAGAATTCCATTGTGTATATACCACATTTTCTTGATCCATTCATCTACTGAGGGGTATATGGGTTGCTTCCATATCTTAGCTATGGTAAATAATGCTTCTATAAACATAGTTGTGCTGGTATATACATTTTAAATGATAGAAAATAATTCCAGTATTTTTATGTTTGGACTTAATCTTTGGTGACCTTGAGAAAGAAAATGACAAAGTCAAATTTGATCAAGAAAACTACTAGTGGGGCTGGGAAGGTGGCTCAGTGGTAGAGCGCTTGCCTTGCATGCCTGAGGCCCTGGGTTCGATTCCTCAGCACCACATAAGCAAAAAAAAAAAAAAAAAAAGCCGGAAGTGGCGCTGTGGCTCAAGTGGTAGAGCACTAGCCTTGAGCTGAAGAGCTGAGGGACAGCGCCCAGGCCCAGAGTTCAGGCTCCACGACTGGACCCAAAAAAAAAAAAAAAAAAAAAAGAAAACTACTAGTATAATCCATGATGAAGAAATAGGAGAAAAGGATACAGATATTTCCTTGCACGGCCTTGCTAATTCTCCTTAAGATCCATCCTACAATCCTCTCTTTGCTAGACCAATAAATGAGACTTAAGTCTCAGCCCATCCACAAAAATGAGTGTCACAAAATGTGACCCCTAAACTGTATTACAGTCTAAAATTACCACAAGATTGTTACAATTTTCACGGACTAAAAACCAAAGAGAGCTGTGGAACTTAACATTCAGGGTACAGGATAAATTATATCAATGCTATACCACCAAAAGATGAGCTACACTTAATAAAGTTGAAATGCGAGAACTGCTTGTGTGTACATTATAGAGGCAAGTGTTCAAAGGCCTCATAGATTAGATTGTTTGACTGAGTTTATCGTATAAGGTCAGAGAGTCCTGAGGACACAGTCATTAGTATGACTGTGAGAAATGATCCCAGCACCCTCAAGGAACTCTACATTGCCTGTCTGAAGGACAGGAAATGCAATAAAAACTGCTGTCACTGAACTAGGATCCCTAACTCCAATGGGGATAATTAAGCTGAAAATGGATCAGGTAAGGTCCTAGTGACAGCCTTTCATCACTGAAGACAAGATGAGTAGTTACTTCCTATACAGCTGAGTTAAAACAGTGATAGGAATAGGCAGATCTGAAAAGCTCTAGGTTGCTGATCAAGGTATTCTTAAAAGTGAAATTAATGGATAGACAATCTACAAAATTCTTTTTCTATCTCTGTAAGCAAAAGCAGTTCTAAATCCAGTAAACAGAAGTAAAGCCTGAATCATTAAAATAGCCATGGCCTTCCAATCAATTCTCACAATTTAATCAGTTTACAATCCTAGAACCCTATGAACAAGGTAAAACGCAGCTCTACTTGAGGAAGGATCCTTCCCCAAAGAAATGGACCACCTTTTACTGGGATTGAGCACCGGAAAAAGGAAATAATCAGACTCTGGGGAGATGATGATTGCTGAATCATGGACCTGAACTAACACTAATCTTCATAAACTTAAAATATTTCCATGTTTCACTAGCCTTATTGATGTCAGGTAATCAAGGTCCTTTCGGCTTAAGTCCATCTCACTATGAGTCCGGTGAGTTTCTAATCACTTCTTTTTACTTCCCCAGAGATACAGGTTATAATTAAAGAATTCTTTTTAGAGAGTGGGTGTTGTTTTCTTTTTCAGGTCAGATAGACTTTTGCATATGTGAAGGCTAAAACACTACTACAATTAGAAATAAAGGCTAGAGAAGAAGAAAATCAGAGAAGTAAATTAATTATTCCCCAGGCCATAACAGGTGCCAGAAAAGAAAATGGTCTTAGTCTAAGAACTAAACTGTTAGTGTTACATAGAGAGAGACTTTATTTTCTTCTGTGATTTAAAGGAAAAAAAATCAGGAAGGGCAATGTGGGGATGGGTTGGGAGGGATGGAGAAGAGATGAAAAGGGGGGGGGGCGTCAGTTAAAATGCATTGTACTTATAAGCTCATTTGTTTAATGGTAGCCCTTTGTATGCTGCCTAAAGATAATGTAATACATTTTTTAAAGAAAGAGAATGGTGCTCAAGAAAGCTTCCACTCTATAAGTTTGCTTTGAAGACCAAACTGAGGGGTCATATCATCTTCCATCATTTACAGAGTAAGTGTGTGAAGGAATCAAACTACTGAGACAAGTGGAAAACATTGCACGGCATGCCATTAAAACATACAACTTTAATATTATGTGTATCATTTAATTTTTTCTGGTCCTAAGGCTTTGGCTTAGAGCCTGGACACTATTCCTGGGCCTTTCTATGCTCAAGACTGGTGCTTTACAACTTGGGCCCCAAGACCACTTCCAGCTTTTCCTGTTTGTGTGGTACTGAGGAATCGAACCAAGGGCTTCATGCATGCTAGACAAGCACTCTACCACTAAGCCACATTCCCAGCCCCTATTTAAGTTTTTTTAAACCAGAAGGCCAAAATAAATTGAAATCACCTTGGAAAATGCCATTTTATTTGAAACTACAAAGACCATTTTTTAAACTCTGA